CTATAGATGAATACGTATCCACAAGGTTTTCACGAAATAGATATATGCCGGATTTTACTCAAAAACTAGGAATTTCCAAGGTGAGTTGATTTGTCGCAAATGGAAGAGTTTTAGAAAAGGGATATTAAGTCCGGATTTCAGCCCAGGAAATTAATTCTGGTTAAAATAAGAGCATTTTGAAACTTCACTTTCAAACTCGAAAACTTTCCTACACGAGAACAAAGAAATGTCTCCACAAGGATACACATTTTAGTATGTGTGTCCCCAAATGTTGAAATAAACTTAGTGTAGCATTTTCACTGGATGCAGTCAACATTTAAACTTTATAACAACAATTTGTCCCTCAGAGTCCTCCAACTGTGACATAGCGACATAGATCTTTGCGTCTGGATTCGTGTGGATGTCCCCTTTGCCGCCATTAACGTGTCAGTGGTGGAGTGGCGAGTTGGTTTAGTCGTGACGTTAATTACAACATTTACACGTCACGCCATGTGAGCAGCTAGGCCTACGCCATTGTCGGGAAGCACCCCATTTTATGTCCGCGCTCGTCGGCCGGCGTTTAATTTTCTAACCTATCGGTAATCATGCACTTATGTACTTTGTCAGTGCCCTGGTTTAACATGTCTCATAGACATGGCGGCGCCAAGACGCCAACTCGAAAAAGTGATACAGTGTCACGCATATTGCGAGAAAAAAAGTGGCGGGAAAATAGACCGACATCAATTGTTGTCAAAAAAATAACATTCAAACTTTGGTCGTATTGTGAGTGAGTCAATTTTGGGTCGGCCCTGATAAAAACTGTGCAACACTTTTAACAATTAGGGTTGGGAAGTCTCGGATGGATGTTTTCACGAATTGATACAGACACGAAAACATTATACTGACCTACATCATGCGGTACCTTTTCATGGCTTTGCATCGGTCCTTTGTTTATATAGACAACATGGAGAAACAGATTATGCCAGCGTGAAGTTCGGCTCATTTCATTAGTCTATGTACGATGCCTAGCGCCTTTATTTGAAACATGACACTCTGTGTGCCGTACACTATAACTAATCAAGCCCACTAATTCTTTGGCTGCGATAAAGAGTCACGTATCAAAATTCGCATATTGTTAAACTAATGAATCATGCACATGCATTGACTTAAACAGAGCAGTCTCACGGCCACCAAGTTAGTAAAACCTTTCCCAGTATTGCTCATTGGGTCACTGTTAAATATTAATATCTTTCTATCGAATTTAGGTTCCTTTCTCAACGCCATATTTTGGTATTCACAATGTGGAAAGTAAGCATTTGGCTTGGATCCTGGAACAGTTCAAATTTTTCACCAAAACGGTAGGTATTATTTTAAGTATTGAAATCATTTTCATGAAATTATTTTCTCATTTAATATGGGCCCGAGTTGCCGATTTCACAAGTACAATGCATATTAAAGGTAATACATTTCCGGATTTTCAAAAGTTGGAAAATGTTTTACGATATAAGAACAGCTTTTAAAAGAAACTATTTGCAGTAAAAGGTACAGAAACTCACGTTGCGTTCTTGTACATTATTACAAAAAAGGCTAAATAAATAAATAAATAAATAAAAACAAAGATCCCGCTCTTTGTCGGTTATCGATGTTTGTCCATTATTGTAAACGAAAACTATATATTTGATGTCAATTTGTACACGAAATTCGTTACTTGATAGAAACAAATAGCATTAAGTGTGAAGGATCTCGTTACTTTTAAATCCATTAATGACGTCAAAAGTATTTTGTTTGTCTGGTAAAAGTTGAGTCCGCCTAACATAAGTTTAGCTTTCCACTGTGGCTGTCGTTTTAAGTACATGTAGTCTCGATACTGTTCCATCGTTTTTTTCTTCACTACCACTGTTCTATAGTTTAACGCAACATTAGCCTACGAGGTTACATTCCTTGCAACATTTGATATATGTATCGGGTCCCTGGAGGCCAGAACCCATCCTGTATGTAATGTTGTATCCATGTCCTTCCGTCTGGATAATGTTTGTCCTCGATAAACACTGCCAGGGTGATTTATTAAACCTTTTTTCCAACGATGTTCACTTTCAATGTGAAACCTTTTTGGCTTGATTGCAAGCGTTACTTAGTTACCATCAGGAATTGCATTGTAGTTTGTCAAAGTATTTTATTAGATTTTTTTTTTACTTCAGATGTATGTGCTTTTTTTGTAATTAGGTTGAGTTGGGGTTGACTGCTTTGGTTGGTGGCTGGTTGGCTGGATCAGTGGACCCGTGTACCTGTTATTATTCATTACTTTTTACGGCAGTGATGGGAATTTTAAGTCAATGAAGAATTCTGGCCTCCCATGTCTTGCTTGTTGTATCATGTATTCCAGAATGAAATGTAGGCTGTTTTTGTTTTTTTGCTTCGTTTTTCTGCGTGAATTTCGTAAACAAAATTCTAGTCCCAAATACGAGGTCCACATTTGTGGGCTGTGTGATTATTTATGAGCCTTCGTTTGTGTACAGGGCGAGTAAAACAAAATGACCTGGATAAATGATTTTTTAAAAGCAATTACAATTTATACACCGATTAGTGTGTCTTTCAAAAGCATGTTCGATCTTCAACTCATCTGAAAAAAAAATTACAGAATTACTGAAATTAATCCATGCCCAGTTGCGCAGCCAAGCGGGGGGGGGGGGGGGGGGGGGGCCTCGGGGGGCTTGAGCCCCCCACAAGAGGTGGTCATTTTTGTAACCTTGGTGATATGCATGTGGCCTATTTTCGAGTAGTAGTATAGGGGTGTAAGTGGCGCCACCAACGTCGAAATAGTCCCCCCCCCCCCAAAAAAAAATTCTAACAAATTTGACCAAAAAAAAAAATGTGAGCCCCCAAGCCAAATTCTTGGTGCGCCACTGTCCATGCCATCAGAAGTTATGCATGGTTTACTGAAAGAAGCTATTTTTATAGCAGTCCATGGAATGCCATTGGAAGCTATTGATGAACCATATTTGCCTGATCTATCTTCTGTTAATCTGCCCGCCCGTCATCATCGCCATTAGCCTATTTCAGAATATGGCCGACACAATAGAAGGGCGCTGTCACAAACTGAATGTGGTGGGTGAGATATGTACTTTTAGGATTCATGGCTCAGTGCGCACGCCTCTCTGTGTTTTGTACCGTGCCATCGTATCGCCAGCATCGGCTACTTTGCTGGGCGATTTACTTGAATATTTTAGTGATTAACAAGTACGACATATTGCCAATATATTAATCGTTTATTGTGATGGCCGTAAACAGCATATAGCGATTAATGGACAACAATTCTTCTCGACTCATGCAAATGCAATTGACATTTAGGAAGGAGACGAGGCAGGCAATTATACTCTATTTTTTGTGTGACCATGGCAGTAGCTCAATTTGTGTTTATCACAGATGAAAAGATGAATACATGGCGAGTCAAAAAGAAAGTGACCGTATGATAAAAAAAAATGGCACGCTCCATTTTGTAAAAAATATAATTGGGATAAAGAACATGTTATTGAGTAGTAACTGTGAACATTTCACGTAATTTGCATACTCTATTCCCAAGTCGTGTCTATTTTAATAAAGAGATCACAAAATTCAGCTGTCCACCACTAATACAAATTTAACGGTCTACGAATTGATGAATATCCATTAATAAATTTAATGGAAAAAAAAACGTTTTCCCGCCTCTACGAATAAAGGAAAAATTTAAAAGGAAAATAGAAAAAAAATCAGCAATATTTCTAGGGAAAAAGAGTTGAATTGTTCCCCATATTCAAAATACAAAATCTGACGGTAAAAATAATGTTTCAGTCTTGATTCATAAGATTTAAATCTCAGTTGTATTTGGAATCAATGAGGATGGCTATAAAGTGCTTGTTTCAACAGATCATCCCACAATAAAAACGAGAAATAAGAAGAGGAGCAATGGTTATTGGACTATGCCTCACTCACTATTAAGTGAAGAGAGACATGTCCATTAGCATCACACTGCAGTCACATTTGCCCTAAACTGATTCTTTACTTAACCCTAAAAGGGCCGGGTGCGGAATCCGCCCCCTCACTTTTTGGCTGGTCTCAACTCGAGACCAGCCAAAATATCGAGACCAAAGGGGACCGAGACCGAGACCAATACCGAGACCACAGCTCCCGAGACCGAGACCGAGACCAGCAAAAAGTGGTCTCGAGACCGAGACCGAGACCAGCAAAAAGGGGACCGAGACCGAGACCGAGACCGAGACCAGCAAAAAGTGTTCTCGAGACCGAGACCGAGACCGAGACCGGTCTCGAGACCTACAACACTGATTCAAACACAAAATGAGTTTTTAGTCATTTGAGTCGAGACTGAAACATTATTTTTACCGTCAGATTTCGTGTTTTGAATATGAGGAACAAGTCAACTCTGTTTTTCCCGCTGAAATATTAATGGTGATTTCCGTCTGTTTTCCATTGCAGGTTTTCGTGCTTTCACGGAGGTAGAAAACGTCCATGTTTCATTGTTTTAATTGGTATTCATTAATTGTTGTTAAAATGGTAAATGATCAAAGGTGGACAGCTGACTTTTGTGATTTTTTTAATATTAAAATAGACATAACTTGGGAATAGAGTATGCAAATTACGTGAAATTTCACATTAGGCCTACTAGTCATTAACATGTACTTTATCCCTATGTTATTCTTTAAAAAAAATGTAGCGAGCCTTGTATTTTTTGAAACTTTTATCTCTGATTCGGTCACTTTCTTTTGACTCATCCTGTAGTATATGGAAACAGCTTTAGACTGAATAACAAAAAACATTTTGGTTTCAGTTTTTGAAGGGTGCCACATTTTTGACAAACGTCTGAAAATGTGTTTCTTAGAGGGAATTTCGCTGTTGTTTGGTATGGATATTCATTTGAAATTCCGTGATAAGCCACTATGTCTTGAGTCCCTTTTGGTGTGGAGAATTTTCTGCCTTCATTTTGTTCGTTGTATTAATATCAATATTTGGTTTGAGCCTACAGGTCTATTGCCTGTCTTCGATTGGACAGCTCAGCGTCGCCATGCCAACACATCTCTGCGTGACAGCTAAGCCGCCTCGTAAGCTGCTGAACCATCGCGAGTAACCCCCTTAAAGCTCCTCAAAAAGACAGTAGCCAATCACAACTCACATGCTGGAGTCACCTGTCCTCTGGTTTACCGCGAGATACCGTCTTTAAGCTCATGATGCATGTGATCAGCTCCGTCTTCTTACGCTCCATCTTCATTATCTGGTCTTGGTCATCGCTCGTCTCCAGGCTGCAGGTATTCTGATCTTCCTCTAAGCACCTGTGATTAGTCAACGCCGCCTCCTCTCGCGCCTCGCGCAGTGTTCATCAGTCGTTCATAGTTGCTCGTGCCAAGACTGAGCACATCAGAATCTGAAAGGCACCTTACGGAGAACAGTCGCCGTTGAACTGATGACGAAGACGCCAAGCACCATTGAAGCTAATTGCAGCTAGGCCCAAGCCTGGTGGTATACCTACAAATCTTGGTTTTCCAGTTTTGTTTGACTTCATTCTGCTCTGACAAGAACGAGGTGTTTCAAAGCGGAGCGATTTAAGCGAAAGGACAAATCTGCTGTACAGTTGACGATGTCATCGAAGGATGTTTAATGAAACACTTCGAGCTTGTACCACGGCGTGCAGTGGCAAATGACGAACTGTGCATCGAAGCCTTAACGACGTATAGATCCGTGTGACAGATCTGCGGGCTTCACAAGTCCAGGTGAGCAGTCCGATTAATTCCAGTCAGTTAACTATTCGTGGGATGAGCTTATTCGTGAAATTGAATATTTTTTTACGGAATATATATTGCAAAGAGATATGCAGTTGCCTGGTACTTTTTCCTTTGCGATGTAAAATTATGATTTATTCTTTCATTTCTCCAGCGTGAAACTGAACAGCATAAAAGTGGTTTTCGTTCGGGCCTTGCGTTAAAATAAACTAATTAGCATGAACTTTTATAAATGGAAGACTTATTTGTTTTATAAGCAGTGAAATGATATGCATTTAACTCAATAGAGAAAACTAATTAAAACAACACAAAGAAAAGAAAGAAGCTAGCAAAAACAAATCAACATTATGTGTAAAATCGCGGTACTTAATTAACAATATAGCTAAAAAGGACATCAGGACGCGAATGATAAAATACATGTACAAATAAACATAGAGTTTTGGATAGACTGAGTGCGGAAAAATGTGGGGAAATTGTCAGAAATAAAAAACAAATATTGATCCCTGAAATATTTAAGAAGTTTAAGAACATCACGTAAAACAAGAATACATAATCAAACAAATCTCAAACAATTGCCTACTTAAAACGAACACATGAAGTCACAGCCCATTCAAGTGACTCAATCCAGTTCGGCGCCTCCCTAAACACATTATCTATAGTCGCAATTGAAAGACACCTTTCTGACTTCCAAGATAAATGGGTTAAACTCCCAGAATAGCACATCATAACAAATGCAAATGGGTTAAATACCCAGAATAGCACATCATAACAAATGCAATTTCCGCATGGCGTCCCCTTAAGTGTACCAGCCATGAAAGTCGTTCCCTTAAAATGTTTCATTCGAAATTGTGTCCAAGACGTGGCTCAGAATGATGAAACTGCCATTCCTTTCCCCCCAGCCCCATGCATGTTGTACATCTGTAATCCAATTATCGTTGACGCTGTAAGGTTGCCGCCCTAACACGGATGCACATTTTGTTCCAAGTGGCGTATTTCTGCGTAGGTTAGAGAAAATGTGGCGCTGACAAAATTGATAGGTATTCAGAGGGCTAGAAAGCAGGACAAAAGGCCGAAAGTTGGACAACAAATCATCGCACAGGTCAACACAGGGTGTGTTGCCGCAAATGTTAAGTTGTATGTTGTGGACACATTTTGTATGATAAATGTAAGCTTTGCGCGACAACGTGCATAAGAGAAACTTTTAGGTGAGTTCACCCGTGAAGTTTATTTAAATGTGCCAAAGACAATCACACGGGTATTATAGGAGAAACATTTAGGTGAGTTCACCCGTGAAGTTATATTAGGCCTACATGTGCCAAAGACGAACACACGGGGATTATATGATCGTGCAGTGGTATGAGAGTGATGTAAAGGAAGTGGACAAAATAAGCAAGAATCCCAAAACACGAAATTGCAAAAGTGCCACTAATTTTAGGCCTATACCGCTGAACGCCATATAGGATAATATATATATCCCGAGTTCATACCGAATTATTATCGAATAATACCGTCAGTGAGAAGAATCAAGAAATGTAGGTTCTTTCCAAAAAAAAATCATTCAAATTAGTGACAAATATTTGGAAATATAGAGTGCTATACATAGGCGAAACGTGTACTTGTCATATCCACTAAGCATGGGCGTATAGGCGCACCACGTATAGAGCGTCTAGATTCAATTTAAGCGGGCCCCGAACCCCACGCCGTAGGTATTCGCGCTTCGCGCTCGCATTCTGATTCGCGTTTTGATCCAGGTATATGTCCACACTTTTGAAAAGCGATGGACGCCCCCGCCAGTGAGGCTGCCACTGAGTTGAAACTTCAACAGGTTCGGTTTTTGTTAACATTCTTCTTTGGATTTTGAGTAGATGAAAGAATAGCATGCATGAAAAGCAAATGATCCTAGTTGCCTTTAAAAGTAATGTATTAAGCATTCTGTGAAATGTACAGTCATTTGAAAGAAAACTAGGATTTAAAAGTCTGCTTTTGGCCTTGAGCATGCGCACGGTGACGCAGGTCCATGCGTGCAATTATTGTTTCCCACAACGTAGTCGGCAATATGACGCACGGCCTTTGCCCCATGGGTTTTACGCTAGACAAATGCAACGATCTAGGACGCTTTCTGTTCTTTTTTCTTCCACGTATAAAAACAAAGTGAGCACGAAATAATAATCGAACAGGGTCAGTGGGACAATGTGGGCTATAAATTTCTATCCCACAATTCAGTCCGTTTAATGAAATTACACGAATGCAAATGTTGTCTATTCCTTCAAGGGACGGTCCACCTCTGGTCAACAGTACAGCGATACACAGAAGAATACATTAAAGCGAAGATTTTGTCCTTGAGGAAAAGTGATGAGCCTATTCTTAAATTGCGAACTGCATTGCCAATTTAATTGTAGCTTGTCCGGGCATTCATGCATTGCATTTTTCGAAGAAAAAATAATTTTACGCAGTCGTAATATCAGAATTGCCCATGCGCATTATGCAGTCGGTTTAATTGTGTCCAACGTGTGCCAGTTATGCTCGCAGTTTTATTATAGGCCTAAAAAAGACAACGGATATATATACAGGGTGAGTCCAACAGAAACTTACCGAATAATATATATATTTTTTTTTTAAAAACATGTGGCTCGCTCCATTTCATAAAAATAACATGGGGATGTAGCACATAATTTTTAGCGGCTTGAGTACCTAATTGTTGGTAGATACGTGCGCTTTATAAGACTCCGGTATTATAATTATTCCTACAAATGGACTATTAGGGAGACACGTTATCGTAATTTCTTCGACAATAGGGAGACACTGGTCATTAGGGAGACATTTTCATGTCTCCCTAATGTCACAGCCCCCCTTTAGAGGCAGAATTTTAATGTCACAATTAGGTTATATTTGTTGCTCGTGGTCTAATTGGTAAACATACCAAAAAAAGAACAAGGGAATATTGGGTTAGGGCACATTTAAGTTTGAAAATGTTGTGCACAAGTCTATGGGGATGTCTCCCAAATGTCCAATCCAGGGTAATTATAATTATGATTATTTATTATTATTATTATTGAGTAGTAACTGTGAACATTTCACGTAGTTTTTATATTCTATTCCCAAGTTATGTTTTTTTAAATTATAAAAAAAGTCAAGAAATTAAATTTAAAGCTGTCCACCACTGATCATTTATACGGTTCTATGAATCCATGAATACACATTAAATACAACGATACATAGATGTTTTCCCATCTCCATGAATGAACGCAAACTTGCAAGGGAAAACAGACAAATATCGCCATCAATATTCCAGAAAAAAAGGGTTGACTTGTTCCTCATAATTATTCAAAACACAAATTTGACAGTAAAGATAATGTTTCAATCTTGACTCAAATTAATAACATCTAATTTCTTGACTCAAATTAATAACATCTAATTTGTATTTGAAAGACCATTAAATACAATGAAACATGGCTGTTTCCCACTTCCATAAATGAACGAAAACTTGCAAGGGAAAACAGACAAAAATCACCGTCAATATTTCAGGGGATTTTATTTTTTTTGCTTTTTCCTCATATTCAAAACACAACATTTGACAGTAAAAATAATGTTTCAGTCTTGACTCAAATGATTAAAATCTCATTTGTATTTGAATGCCTGTGTGTCATCTGTAATTGTAACTCAGCTCAGTATAGCCTCAAATGGCACCACTTGGGCAGCTATAAAAATAGGTTGTTTTAGTAAAACGTGCATAACTTCTGATGGCATGGATCAATTTCAGTTGATTTTTTTTTCAAATGAGTGGAAGAACATGATGAACATTGCTCTTTTGAGACATATGCCCTACTTTAGTGTATAAATTGGATTGGTTTTGAAGGAAAAATCATTAACCCAGGCCACTTTCTTTTTGACTCAGCACTGAAAAAAAATGTGGGTTAAGTTTACCCAAGCAAGGGTGAAAACTGCAACTACCCAACATTGGGTTGTCAATTACCCAATTGTTTGGGTTATAATTTCTGTTAAATTCAACCAAAACTTGTGGTCATACAAGACCAATTTAAATGTAGTCTGGTACACACAAATTGTGGTTGAATTTAACAGAAATTATAACCCAAACAATTGGGTAAAGACAACCCAATTGTAGGTAGTTGCAGTTTTTACCCTAGTCTATGTAAGCCGTAATTCACCCGTTGCGCGTCATAGATAATGGATTAAAAAAAACCTGTGTCACGCGCTCTGCATCATGTTACGCGATACACGCCCAGCTGTTGTTGTATTACAGAACACTGCAATCAAACCATTTAGTCCTGATTTGGGAATGAAATGACGTCACGATTTAGTAAAGTCACCTCCGGTTGGCTGGCGCGCGGCTTCCATATATCTGCATGTCTAGACATATCAGACGTTATACAGGAGACTTGGCTCCGTGGATAACGGGTAATACTCAGAGTATTTTCACCCTTGCTTAGGTAAAATTAATCCAGGCATTTTTTTTCAGTGAGCCTGCATAATTATAGGGACTAAATGCAAGCTAATGGTAGGGCTGTATTACATTAGACACGATATAATGACGTAGACCTTGGGCCGTCTCAACTCCCTTGACCAACCTGTCCTGAAGATCCTATTATCTGTTAGCAGGGTGAAGCTACAGTAAAAAGGTTTTTGTCTGCAGGGATTACCGTTATTGGATTCTAGTTAATGTGAGAATGATTCCGCAGAGATATGTAGGGATGCTTAATCGAACAAAATTCAGGAGCTGAAAATGTAGTAACACGCAACGAGCGTCCCTGGCGTCCTTTTCGCTATGGCAAAAAAAAAAGAAAAGACTACCCGTGATGTAGCCCGATGGAATTGAGTTTCTTTTTTGAATATACAAATGGTGAAGATCGATTCTGTCTTGGAATGTTGTTTAGTGTTCGCCGTGCTTGGTCGTCTAAATTGTATTACAATTTGCAATTACGTCCTCAAAAATGACTGTATGGAAGCTGCATTTCTGCCTCATTTAGCCTGCA